AACTTTTTCTTATTGTCACTTTCTCAAAATTTCTGCCCCAAAATTTCTTACTCTTCCTATTTTTGTTTTAGTATAAACTTGGTAACTTATTTATTGTCTCAAATAAAGATGTTGTTCTTTTCTACTCTGCACTATGGTATTTGCATACCTACTTAATATTCTCTTCAGAAGCATTAGCAGACCAAGGTCTCTTCTTCAGTATTCTTAGCTATGAGGATTCATAATTATGTTGGAATGGATACTAATAATGAACGATTCTTAACTATTACCATAGGTCACACATAATTATTATATCCCAATATAATAATAATTAATAACTATGTAAATTGGTCAGCTGAAAATTGCATTGGAGGAATGCTATTTGGCTTGGATATAGAATACAAATCTTGGGGGCACCTGGGTGGCACAGTGGATTAAGTGTCCGACTCTTGGTTTTTGGCTCAGGTTGTGATCTTAGGGTGGTGAAATCAGCCCTATGTGGGTCTCTGAGCTCTATGAGGAGTCTGCTTAAGCCTCCCTTTACCAGGACTCCTGGGCGGCTCAGTCAATTAAGCAACTTTATTGGACCCAGGTCTAGATCTCTAGGTCCTGGGATCGATTCGTTAAATGGGGCTTCCTGCCCAGCTGGGAGTCTGCTTCTCCCTCTCTCTGTTTCTGCCTCCCACTTGTGTGCAAACACACATACACTCTTTCTATCAAATAAATAAATAAAATCTAAAAAAAAAAAAGTCTCTTTCCTACTCCCATTGTCCCTCATCCTCCATGCTCACTCTTTCAAATAAATAAACAAACAAATAAATAAGTAAATAAATAAATAAATCTTCTTAAAGAACATGAATCTTGTTGTTCCATCACAAATATATCATCCTGGAAATGATACACATATATGGAGATCAAGGCCAGAAAAAAACAGATTCCTTATAACTTAAAGATTTTCCCCCAAACCTAGTATGAGTTACATTGAACCAGATTAGAAGCCCCCTTGTGCCTAGACTACTTTTTCCCTGAGTCTACATCTAGTTCTGATTCCAATGGCAACTAAAGGAGAATCCTATGAAATGCATGAGGTGGAGAGAGACAGAGACTATATCCCTAGAAAATATTGAGAAGTCCCTAATCTGACCATGCTAGTTCTTTTAAAGGTGTGCAGAGTTTTTCCAAAACCATCTCACTACCAACCTGGAGAGAAAGGAAAGCAGCATGTATCCTTGTGTGGACTAAAAGTCTTATTATAGGGCCATGGGTGAATGCCTGGGGTTGCCAGCCAAGTAAGTGAATGTATCAGGTATGTGGCAGGGCAGGTTCTAAACAGTACTTGACCTTACTAAAGGGAACAGGTGTCCCTCAAAGCCTATAATTATGGCCACATGGGAATGCAGAACTAATGTGGTAGAGTTTTCTGATTGTCAGGATATTTAAAATCCAGATGGTTCTGCAAAATCATTCGATAGAGATTTGTAACTTACTCAAAACACTAAGCTGATTTAACAAAATATATCTCTAGATGATGTATACACAGAAAGCAGGGAGAATATATGAACATCATCAAACCAAGAGACAGTGTTAGGATTTTACAAAGTATGTTGGCTTTAGTAACACAGATGATTTGCAGTTAGGTTCACTCTTCTGTATTCTGTATGAACATTTCTGTATTCTGTCTAAAAAATATCTAACATAACTTCCAAATAACTTGAATCAACTTACTAAGATTTTGGTATCAAGAAAAGTTTAGTTTACCTATCAAGAAAAGCTACACTCTTTAGAAAATATATGTGTACTCATTCTCAAATTTTAAAATCTTTTGAAATTTTGTTGTGGCTTTTTAAATTCAAGAGCATTTCTTTAATAGGCCATCAAAATTCATCTGTGTTAGGAGTATTGAGGGAAGGCATAAAGAATGTTTATTCTGTTCTTATTCTGTTGTTCCAATTTATTTTTATTATGAAGTTTAACAGTTGAAATCTAAAACAAGGATTTGAATCAATGGCACCTGAATAAAAATGAGAACATGTGGTTTCAACACGATCAACAAAAACATATGGCTGTTGGAATTACTACACACTAAAAAGTCACCTAGAAAATCCAATAATTCAGGGAATATATGCTACAAAGGAGTAGTCACTACGGCACAAATTAGGAGGAGAGATTTCCTCTCCTGAAATTTTCCTGAAATAAAGGTGAGAGCTAGTAGAAATGTTTCATGGAGAAAGACATTGGTAAGTCATACCAACTATACATCTTAAAGAAGAAAATGCAAGAACGTATCATGATTTATTTAGGAAGATGAACAGCTTGTAGTTTACTGTTTTGTCTTTATCAAAAGCATCTCTATAGGAGAAATAAGTAGGTTTACTTTTCTGGTGAATGATGTTTAAGTAATTACTGAAGGAGATACAGTGTTTCTTGAGTAGCACTAGCAGAACATATTTAAAATATAATTGATCTGTGAGTCAATTTCTGGTTTGTAGATTCCAAACTCACCTACTGAGAGAGGAAAAGGGACCAAGCTATTCATAGCTCTTTGAATTAGGTTTTCACACTTGTACGTTAGCTTTGGCGATTCAATGAGACCTCAATGATTGAGTATAATAAGCAATTAAATGTTATTAAATTTTTAGCTGAAATTAAAACCAGAGGAAAAAAAACTAATTAAACAGAGCTTTGATTTTGCCAGTTTATCATTCGATCTAAAAAGAGCTGAATAGCACTGGAAGGTGAATGGGAGTTAAGGAATTCACAATTAACAATTCTTATAACTCTCCAGCTCATTCCTTTCTTATTTTTATTTTCTTGATTTTCTATTCTTAAAATAGTAAGGACATTTTAAGGGATTATATCAGCCAAACATTTTGTCATTTAACAGGATGCATTGTTTGGCAAATTTTGAACTGTTCTCTTACTATTGAATAAAGTTGAAGTTTATTTACAAAAATATTGGTTAATCCTAACAGCTATTGAAGAAACCTCCCCCCTTGTAAGTAGGGCCAGCCCTAATCCAGAGGCAGCCCATCCAGTCTTCTTCCTGAAATTTTAGCAACTAAAAGCATTCCGTTTACAATAAGAAAACCGTTTCCCCCCCACACACCCTGATTGGAATGTCCCTGAATAGGTTCATGTTGACCCTCCCCAAAATCAACCTGGATGCCATGCGACTCCCGCGGTTCTTTTGTCTTTAGGAAGTTTCTTTCCTTTTGCCTTTTAAAAGACACCTGTAATTGCTAATCGGGGCTCTTTTCCTCTTCGGAGGCGGAGAGCCCGTTTGCGCAAACGTTCAATAAACCCTCTTGCTAATTGCATCTGCCTGTCTGGGGTCTGGGTCTCTGGGGCGTCCACCGGGCCACGTTGGCACCCGTGAGCCAGGGTCCAACATTTGGGGGCTCGTCCGGGATCTGAGACGCCCCAGACTCAATCCTAAAACCGGCAGGAGGTAAGACCGAGCTCGCTAAATGTCCTATCTGTCTCGTCCGTTTGTCTGACTGGCCGGGTCTGTTTTGTGCCGGGTCTGTATTGTGCCTGCAGGACGCTGTACTCTGTATTCTGTATTTGGACCAGCGGGGGAGGCAGACGTGCCCGAGACCCCTGGTCCCCCTCCGGAGTCGGACTCCGGAGTGGTCTGGAAGAGGAACGGAGCCCCGGCACTCCCTCCTCTTCGGGGAGGGTCGTGGTTCGCGACCGCTCCCATCTGAATCTGCCGCGCCAGTCCTGTCGTTCGTGTGCGTCTGTTCGTTCCGTGTTTTTCTTCCTTTCCTGTCCTCCTCCTCACCGCTCACCCCTTCTCTACACCCATGGGGCAGACTGTAACCACCCCTTTAAGCCTCACTCTAGATCACTGGAAAGAAGTCGCCGGCCGGGCACACAATCTCTCGGTCGAAGTCAGAAGACGAAGATGGGTCACCTTCTGCTCCTCAGAGTGGCCGGCTTTCAACGTCGGGTGGCCCAGGATAATATTGACATTATCTTGCAGGTGAAGGCCCTGGTCTTCCAGCCAGGACCCAATGGACACCTCCACCAGCCGACCTAGGATGACCGCCAACAGCTCCTGCAGACTTTCCTCACCACGGAGGAGAGACAGCGCGTCCCGGGGGCGGATGGGAGGCCGACCCAGCTGCCTAATGAAATTGAGGATGTTTTCCCCTTGGTTCGCCCGACCTGGGACTACGACACTGTTGCTGGTAGGGAGCGGCTCCGTCTCTATCGCCAGGTACTCCTAGCGGGTCTCAAAGGGGCAGGGCGTCGCCCCACCAATTTGGCGAAGGTACGTGCTATAGTGCAGGGAAAAGATGAGACGCCGGCAGGTTTTCTGCAGAGGTTAATAGAAGGCTATACTGGCCACCGTAGTACAGGGCTCAGGGCAGAGTAAGTCAGGACAGAGTAGGGACCTGGGAGACAAAAGAGGACCACGGGTTGAACGAGACCAGTGTGCCTACTGCAAGGAAAAAGGACATTGGGTTAAAGATTGCCCAAGGAAGGGCCAAACGCAGGGACCTAAAAAGAAGCCCATTCCTGTTTTGTCCCTAGAAGATGAAGATTAGGGATGTCAGGGCCAGGAAACCCCCCCCCCCCCGAGCCTCGGATAACCCTTAAAGTGGGGGGACAGCCGGTGACCTTCCTGGTCGATACGGGAGCTCAACATTCAGTTTTAACTGAGGCAAAAGGACCCTTGAGCTCTAAAACGTCTTGGGTTCAGGGGGCAACTGGAGGCAAGTTATATCGATGGACAACCGAACGGAAGGTCCACCTGAGCACTGGGCAAGTAACGCATTCCTTCTTACTGGTCCAAGACTGCCATTACCCTCTCCTAGGCAGAGACCTTCTTTCAAAAGTAGGGGCCCAGATACATTTTCAGCAAAAAGGGGCCACTATTACTGGCGCGGGAGGGCAGCCCCTCCAGGTACTGACCTTGCGCCTAGAGGATGAACACCGGCTGCACGAGGACTCTCCACCGGCCGTACAGCCCCTAGATTCTGAATGGCTCACTAACTACTCTCAGGCCTGGGTGGAAACGGCCGGAATGGGACTAGCTGTAAACCAGCCGCCCATAATTATAAACTTAAAACCCTCGGCCACCCCCATATCGATCCGGCAATATTCAATGAGCAAAGAGGCCAAAGAAGGCATTTGGCCCCATATACAGAGACTATTACAATTGGGCATTTTAATACCTTGCCAGTTGCCCTGGAATACTCCTCTATTACCCGTAAAAAAACCCGGCACAGGAGATTACCGGCCGGTACAAGATTTACGAGAGGTTAACTGGAGGCCAGAGGTGGCTGACGGAGAGCTGCAAAAAGGCTGTAGCCCTGATCCCAGCACCCACTAATGCCAAAGGACTACGAGAGTTCCTCGGCAGTGCTGGGTTCTGCCGCCTCTGGATACCCGGGTTTGCGGAGATGGCGGCTCCCCTATATCCTCTCACGAAATCCAACACCCCCTACCACTGGGGAAAGGAGCAGCAATTGGCTTTTGACAAAATAAAAAGGGCCTTATTGACTGCCCCTGCCCTGAGCCTCCCAGATGTAACCAAGCCTTTTACGCTATATGTTGATGAACATAATGGAATAGCCAAAGGGGTCCTAACTCAAAAACTGGGACCCTGGAAAAGGCCCGTGGCATACTTTTCAAAAAAAATTAGACAGCGTGGCTGCAGGATGGCCCCCATGTCTCCGGATAATAGCGGCTATGGCAGTCCTGGTAAAAGACTCAGACAAGTTGACTTTTGGCCAACCCCTCACTGTGGTGGCCCCCCACGCCGTAGAGACAGTCATCCGCCAGCCCCCTGATCGATGGCTCTCAAACGCCCGGGTCACCCATTATCAGGCCATGTTACTGAATTCTGAGCAGATACAGTTTGGAACGGCTACATCTCTAAACCCGGCCACCTTGCTTCCAGAAACCGAGTCCCCCTCCCTAGTAATGCATGATTGCCACCAGATCCTAGCTGAAGTCCATGGCACCAGAGGGGACTTGACGGACCAGCCTTTGCCAGATGCTGAAGCAACCTGGTACACCGATGGGAGTAGCTTTCTACGAAATGGCTGGACAGAAGCTTTCCCCACCAAGCGAGAAACCGCCCAGGTGGTTGTCAAGAAAATCCTGGAAGAAATTTTCCCCCGGTTTGGACTGCCCAAGGTAATAGGGTCGGACAACAGCCCCGCCTTCGTCTCCCAGGTAAGTCAGTTGGTGGCCAGATTACTGGGGATAAATTGGAAATTACATTGTGCATACAGACCCCAGAGCTCAGGTCAGGTAGAAAGAATGAATAGAACAATTAAAGAGACCCTAACTAAATTGACATTGGAGACTGGCACTAGAGACTGGGTCCAACTCCTCCCTATGGTTCTGTTCCGAGTCCGGAACACTCCCGCGCGCCATGGGCTAACTCCTTACGAGATTCTCTATGGAGGTCCCCCACCAGTAACGGACTTACTAGATTCTGCTCTTGACCCTCTTGCTAACACTCCCGGTTTACAGGACAGGCTAAAGGCGCTCCAGATTATCCAGCACCAGATCTGGAAACCCCTTGCGGCTGTCTACCGCCCCGGAGACACACCGGCCCACACCCGTTCCAGATCGGGGACTCCGCCTACGTCAGGAGACATCAGTCCAGGACGCTTGAGCCCCGCTGGAAGGGCCCATATACTGTACTACTGACCACCCCAACCGCCTTAAAGGTAGACGGCATTGCTGCTTGGGTCCACGCCTCACACGTCCAGCGCGCCCCATCAACGAGCACCGCTGACGCCAGCCAGGACGGACCGGACGAGCCACTCCAGTGGAAGCTCCACCGCACCCAAAACCCGCTCAAGATAAGACTTTCATAAATTGTTCAATGACAGTTGTTATATTCCTACCTCTCCTAGCGCTCTTCACCTCCGCCAAAGGTGACCCTCATGCCCTCAAAAGGTTAACCTGGCAGGTACTAACGTCTGGGGGTGACGACGTCTGGTCTATAACTAAGACCGCCCCCGTGGGAACCTGGTGGCCTGACCTATATCCTGACCTTTGCAAGCTAACCATAGGGGCCCCTAGCCCATGGGACCTAGAGGGATACTTCGACACCTCTAGAGCCCCTAACCAAGAAAGCCCTCCAGGGCGACTGGGATTAGACCCATGGGGAGGCTGTGGCACGCCTGATAGAAGGGCCATGCTAAGCACTCTTCCCTTTTATGTCTGTCCCGGGCACCACAGAGATCGCAGGCTAAATCCCACCTGTGGAGGAGGGGAATATTTTTATTGTAAAAATTGGGGGTGCGAAACTACGGGGGATACAGAATGAAGGCCCTCCTCCTCCTGGGATTATATCACTGTCAAGGCTAACTATACTCACCCGACATTTAGCAAATGGAAAACCCTTAATTATGGGCCCTGCCAAGGGTGGTGTCATCCCCTACGGATATCCTTCACGGAGCCCGGAAAAAGGGCTACTTACTGGGCCAATGGATATACGTGGGGATTCAGGTTATACAAAGAAAGAACAGATGATGGTTTTATATTCAGAATTAAACTAAAAATAGAATCCCCAGACCCCGTGGCGATCAGGCCTAACGCGGTCCTCGGGGAACAAAGAGCTGCCCCGGCCCTAGCCGCAGGGAGCGCCGCACCCACTAACTTCGCGGTCACTCCAACCCCTCGGTCGTCACCCGAGACCGGACAAATCTTATCATAGGGGCATTCCTGGCCCTTAATCGAACCAGCCCCGATGTAACTAAATCCTGCTGGCTCTGCCTTGCACCACCCCCCCTTATTATGAGGGGATTGCTACTTCAGGGACCTATAATAACATCACTAGCACTCAGGGATGCACACCCGACTCCCAACCACAACTCAGCCTTACAGAAGTTACAGGACAGGGAACCTGCATAGGAACACCCCCCCGGGGCTACCAGAGACTCTGTAACACTACCACCCCGATTTTGGGGACTGATTCTTACCTGGAGCCCCAGCCGGGAACTTGGTGGGCATGCAACAAAGGCCTCACCCCCTGTGTGTCGGCTAAGGTTCTAAATAGCTCAAACGACTTCTGTGTCATGGTGCAGATCCTACCCAGGGTGTTCTATCACCCTGCTGAAACTCTAGAAAATCAGTATGATAAACATCCCACCCGTTTTCGGCGCGAACCTGTCTCCCTAACCTTAGCCGTTATGTTGGGACTAGGGGTCGCTGCTGGGGTGGGTACTGGCGCAGCTGCTCTGATCCGGGGCTCACGACGTTATATAGAACTCCAAACAGCTGTAGATGAGGATCTACGGACACTAGCGCAGTCCGTCTCTAAGCTAGAACAGTCCCTCACCTCACTCTCAGAAGTAGCACTTCACAACAGGAGAGGCTTGGATTGACTATTCCTGAAAGAGGGAGGACTGTGTGCGGCCCTGGGAGAGGAAGGCTGTTTCTATGCAGACCATTCTGGAGTCATCAGAGACTCCATGGCCAAACTCAGGGAAAGGTTAAATAAAAGACAAAGGGACCGGGAGGCCCAGCAGGGCTGGTTTAAAAGCTGGTTTAATCAGTCTCCCTGGTTGACCACCCTAATCTCTACCATTCTGGGCCTCTAGTTATCCTGCTCCTGCTGCTAACTTTCGGCCCCTGCGTCCTCAACCGGCTGCTCCAGTTCATCCAAGACAGATTGTCTATTACCCAAGCTCTGGTATTAACTCAGCAATGTCGGGCCCTCCAAACTGAAAAAATAAATGTTCCCTAAGATTTTAAGGTTAAAATCAGCCCAAACAAGAGGAGGGAATGAAGAAACCTCCCCCCTTGTAAGTAGGGCCAGCCCTAATCCAGAGGCAGCCCATCCAGTCTTCTTCCTGAAATTTTAGCAACTAAAAGCATTCCGTTTACAATAAGAAAACCGTTTCCCCCCCCACACCCTGATTGGAATGTCCCTGAATAGGTTCATGTTGACCCTCCCCAAAATCAACCTGGATGCCATGCGACTCCCGCGGTTCTTTTGTCTTTAGGAAGTTTCTTTCCTTTTGCCTTTTAAAAGATCCCTGTAATTGCTAATCGGGGCTCTTTTCCTCTTCGGAGGCGGAGAGCCCGTTTGCGCAAACGTTCAATAAACCCTCTTGCTAATTGCATCTGCCTGTCTGGGGTCTGAGTCTCTGGGGCGTCCACCGGGCCACGTTGGCACCCGTGAGCCAGGGTCCAACACTATTTTATGGGACCAGTAGGATCTATGTGACATAATGTTAAACTCTCAATAAAACCAGAGAATATGGATCTCTACATCAAGAAGCTGATGTGGTCACTTATATCACTGTGCTGATAATTTCTTCAATGTGCTATAGACCCCATGCTTTGGTACATTTTCCTTATTTCCTTAATTTTAAATTCTTTTTTCATTATACCCCTATCCTTCCTCCCCATTTTTCGGTCTGGTGAAGTTTGTTCATCTTCTCAGTTTTGTAAATTATTTGTCTGATAAAAAGATAAAGAGGGAGAATGTCTAAGAGATTCAAGGATATATATTTCAAAAAAATTAAAATGATTAGAACTTCAAAAAAGAAATTAAAAGTTACTATGAAACGTAACCAGGAATTAATAGCAAAGAACAGATAGGGAGGCACATGGTCAGTTCAAATACAGTGGTCATAGTGGCAACACTAATATGTATGTAACACAATTCTACAATCCTGCTCTTAGCTTAGGATATCTTATCTAATATTCTTTCTTTTTTATTTCCTGTAATTACTTTTGCATTTTCCTTTTAATTTTAATTATTTGATTTGTTATAAATTACATTTAATGTAAAACCCTGATACAGTTTTTGCACGTGGGTACAGGATGCAGAAATAGTTGCGAATAAATGAACAAACATTCTGAAGAATACTGAACTGACAATCATATATAGATTGAACTAAATTTTTCACAATGCATAGTGTAATAATGGCTTTTGGACTTTGGTGATAGGATTTCTGAGTTAACAAGATCTTGGGTATCAGAGTCCTGTGAAAAATCAATGACAGATTGGAAATTTCCCCTGCTGCAATGTTTTATGCCAATTAACCATATTTTACTTGCTTTTTCTTTGTCCTTAGGCAATATTTTCAAGATGCCATCCTCAAAAAAGTCACTGAAACCACATTTATCCTTCACTCGAGTCCCCACCAGAATTCTCAAAATGACAGATTTATATTGCTGACTAACACTGCTCCCAGTTCCCATATATTTTGTTCTATCTGTCTTTATGTTCTATATATTTATTTTCCCTGTCTTCTAGAGCTATCTTCCCCAGGTTCAGGGCATCCAACCTTGTCTTCTGTCTAGACTTTACTGTTTGACTTACTTCTTTATCGAACTTTAATGGCCAAGTCTCTGCTTTAAAACTAGGTTGCTTTCCTAACCTCTTTATACTCTACACTTTACCTTTGCTGGGTCCTCTGAAAGATCACATTCTATTATGCATTTTGGCCAAGCTTTTTTTTTTTATATATCCTATTTTATCCTTAGTTCTTAGAAAATCTCCCTCTTAGTCCTTGACTATCTCACTTTTCTGTGTCTTTAACTGCTCAGTTGATGACCACTATAAATATTGGACCAAGATTCATTAAATATCCTCTATTGCTTCCATCAATTGCTCATTTCCCCACTTCTTTAAGTTTAACAGTTGGATAAACTTCTACTCTGTTCTAAGTGACATGGATTAGGTAAGACACATATCCTATTCTAGCTCTTATAACTTCCTGCATATTTGTCTGTCTTCCCCTATTGGAAAATGGGATTATCATTAGGCTTATTCACTTTCACATCATTTCACCATGAGAATTGTCTGGCACATAATAGGTGCTGAGGAAACATTTATCACATAAATCAATGAGTGAATAGGTGCTATGGAGTTAAGGATGACTAAGACTTGACCTTATGATCACTTATAATCTATTGAGGAATATATTTACAGCAACAGATAATATCAATAGAATTCGCATATGTGATGTTGGATAATTAAACTGTGCCAAGAAGGCAGGTATAGTCTAAATGTGTTATTTGGGAAGACTTTCAATGAGTGCTTGCATCATTCATTCATTCAACAAAGATGATTAAGCTTTTTGTGTGTTTTAAGTACTTTGGATGTTAAAGGGCAGAATAGTGAAAATCACATCAAGAACTTGTTCTTGAAGAGTTTTCATTCTTCTAAAAAGAGAAGAGTAGATCAACAATTAAATAGTAAATGAGTACGTTAATAATTACACATGAAAACTTCAGAAAAATAAGTGTTACTTAGAACAAAAATCTAGTCATTCATGATTCTTCCTTTTATCTTTTTCCTCATTTTAGATCCATCAGTAAGTTATGTTGGTGCTATTTTCCAAATATATCCTGAATCTGTATTTTTCTACAGTTTCATAATGTCACCCTAATTAAAGATATCTTCAAGCTTTTTCTACCTTCAGCTTATTTGCATTCACTAGTCTCTCTTCTTGAAATTTGACTTCGCCAGAACACTGTGGGTGATATCTTCTCAATGATGAGGTCTAGGCTTAAATATCACTTCTAGAGACATGCCATCCTTATCATCCTATTGAAAAAAACACTCTAGCCTAGCATTTGCTAACACATTAGAGTGTTTTGATGTAAGTTGTTACTTTGCTTGGATGAATGAAATAACTTTGAAAATCTACCACATCCACTTCTTTCTGTTCCCTTGTTATTATCCTGGCCCCAGTTGCCATCTTCTCTAAGCTGCCAGGCTGCAGTAAATTCTTTCCATAGGAGCCAGGGTAAGAATTTAAAATTTCAGATTACCTGATTCCAGGGAGTTTTTGTTTTGCTTTGTTTTTTTAAACAAGATTTGTGAGTAGAAATTTGCAAGAAACTGCTGTGTGTCTGTGGTAGAGAGTGGTGGTAGAGAGAGGAAATATCTTTGCCTGAAGCAGGGAACAGTCCAGCTAGGCTATGTTCGGCAGGGAGAATGTTGGAATTTGCTTTTATTCCTCTCTCCAGTTTCCCCAACCCCCTCACCAATTTCCTTTGTAATAAAGCAATGCCTTCCTCCACACCTGCTGACTCAGTCTTCTTGTCCAAGTGTCCCCAAGAGTAAAATCAGGGTAACTCAGAATGCTATGCTTGTGGGGAGTGGGGAAAACCCGCTGGCAAATAATTGATCTGGGCAATTTTTTCTCTCTTTCTTCAAATTCTTAAACCTGGAGAATTGCAATTCAAATAGCACCTTGTTCTAATGATATTTCTTACTAGAGGGCAGAGAGTGAAGGTTTGACCTAAGGAAATGTTTTATGAGGTGTGGAGTGATTGATTGTAGTTTTCTGGTCTCTAGATCTCTATACTCCAAAGCTCATTGATGACCCACTAGTCCTATCCCCTAAGCTCATTATAATTAACATTGATAATAGATTTAGATGTTTAAGGCAAT